TGATGCTCTGGTCAAACCAGTAAACATATACCTCTACTGGAGAAAAACGACAGATGTTATCTCTGAAGTGGGTCTTTTTCTTTCTTCCAAATATCAATGTGCTAAATGACAGACTCTACAGCACAGAAGCGCAAGCCTGAGTATCCTATTTTGACAAACACCCTCCTTGCCGCCTCCATCAAATGAGACATCAGATCATCTTGAAATGTTGCCAATGTTTTCTATCTTGTTTTCAGTCAAAGGCATGATAAAGTAATTAAAACAACACCATTAAAGGAAAATTGCATGCAAAAATACATATTTTGTCCATAAAATGAAAGACATTTGGGCCCAATGTTGTTTTGGATCTCATTGACTTAAATTTCACATTGCCAAGAATTTGCATGGCTTTTTAACTCGATTATTAATAAACTCTTTTAGTTTATTCTTAGCTAAAAACACTTAGTTCTTTCAAAAATATGTGTGCTCATTAATGTATATTTACTTCGTTCAAGTAATAAAGTATTCTCGTGAGTGTATAATATGCCATTGAAAATACATACGGGTAAGGGGTTCTAATGTCGGTCGCCATGTTGCCCCTCCATCTTGAAAGTACATTAGCCAAAGAGGGACATACCCGTTAATTCAAGCTTCGCCTTTCGCGTTTACGTTTGAGTTAACGCTCATGGACGAGGTCGAACTGGAAGCCATGTTAATCTTGGACTACATTGGCCACCGTAGGAGTTAAAACGAAATCGGAATTGAGAGGAACAGAAACTAATATTCACTGGATGGTCACCGCTAGATAAGGGTAAAAATCACACAGTGTAGCTTTAAGTAAATGTTAAAATGACTTAATGTGTAAATAACTTAATTTCCCATATCATTGTTAATAGAACTGATATTTAGATTTAAAGTAAGTTAAACACACAACTGTGTGTCAATTGTGCTGTAATTTGGAGGATTCACAGCACAGCAAACCCTTTTCTTCCAACACAACAAATGAAGCCAACAGTCATAAACAACCAGCAGGCCCACAACACCAACAAATCTGACACAATCCAAAAAACTGCAGGGTTTGAGCGAAAGTGAGAGACCTTAGGGTGTAACCCACTAAGAACATTGTGCTGTCGTCGGTTGACCGCACATTACTTTCCGTGAAAAAACCTCTGGAGCCCCTTGCTGTTTTAAAAAGCCACAACTGAACGGCTGTATCCTGTAGAGAGGACTTGCTTATGAAATAAATGTTTCCTCTACACAACAGAGCATCCCTCCCACCGAATCTGCTGCATTCATCCTCAACAATACAGCATTTGCTACACTGTTAACATCTTTCAAAATCACAGCGCTAGCACAGAGCTGTGCCATAGTTTACGAAGCAGTCGCTGCATTCTGCTGCGAGATGATGAAACTGTATTGCACAGTTTCACCACACCTAAAGTAGAAATGCCAGCCAAATCCTACGTGCTATAATAATAATAAGAGGAAAAAAAAAACCAACGGGAGATGACTCTGAGAGAGCTCCTTTCAAATGGATGCTGTCATGTTCAGCCTCCATCATTTGGCGGTAAGTTGCCATCACTTTGAAGAAGAAACTCTGTCATTGCACCGTAAAATGCTGTTCTTTTTGGCAGGAGGGCTGCAATCACTGCATGGCTTTGGCACTCTCATTTAGCAACAGTATCATTTCCACTGCGAAAACGGGAGAGAGAGAGAGAGAGAACGAGCGCAGGTACTGTGTGAAGAAGCTGTGATGAGTCTGGGTGGGTTAGGTAGAGTCATTGATGGAAGAAATGACAGGGAGAGGAAGGGCTATAAAGCTAAAAGACGAAGAGCAGGGTTTGGAGTGAATAATATAGGCTGAGAGTGTGCTCTGTATTAGCTGCTATATGGAAAGGAAGACCTAGGGATGGAAATAAAACACTATTTGTGTACATTTGATTTAGTCACACTTAGCTGAACATGAAACAGAATTTAGTGTGGCCAACCAAAGTAAGAACCAAGGCTGTGGTGAGAGCTGAGATGTCAATGGTAGCATGAGTACAGCAACGACATTGGTGGTAATTGCTTAACAGTGTTTTTGTTTAACAGCAATGTCTTAGAGAACAATATTAACAGTGCTAATGTAGCAACAACATTTGTTGTATTAATTTAGAAGCCCTAGTAATACAGGAGAATTGCAGTAGCAGAGCAAACAGTGTCAGCAGTATTAACATATTGGCTGTGTTAGTAGTGCCAGGCTTATTAGTTATAAGTAGGGGGGTATTCGTATTGAACCGTTCGGTACAAAGCTTTCGGTATGCATTTTTGAACCGAACGGTTCGTTGGACCATTTTTCCTGCCGTCCAAAATTTCGTTATTTCATCGCGCGTGGCAAGCACGCTCATAGACGCTGGCGTGACCACAACATTTCCCAACATCAAATGGCATAAATGTATACAATACATATGTAGAGTTCAGATGCAAAAGCCTCTAAATTCCATTTGAAATTTTCTTCTTTAATGATGATTTTTATCAAACTTGTATATTTAAGTTCAGCAATTTCACTTAAATAACAATTAATAGGTAATTATCATTGCCATTTTAGTGAAATTAGTAAACTTAAATATACAAGTTTGATAAAAATCATCATTAAAGAAGAAAATTTCAAATGGCATTTAGAGGCTTTTGCATCTGAACTCTTCATATGTATACAAATGTATACAATACAATACATAAATGTAATGTAAGCGGAACGAAACTGAGCTACTCGTTATTGTGTGGTTGACGGACCGTATATCAGTTTGGACCAATGCAGCGTGAGCCAATCTTGATCATCAGCACTGTTACTACACAGCGAAATCAGAAAGAAAAAAATTGAATTGAATCGCCACTGAAGTAATAACATCGCTGCGAGATCTAGTGAGAAACTTTTACGTTCCTCCATTATTAACGGATCAAACAGCACTGATGTGGAAACCAGGAAGAAACACTGTGCCATGAGTGAAACATTCACCATGGATTTACTGTAGTAACACTAACTGTTACCATGTGAGTTTGGCAGGAATAGTAGGCTATAAGTAACATTACGTCGGTTTTATTTCGACATTATGAATACAATTGCTGCCCTCAGATGTTAATCTGAACTAAAATAAACCTTTGTTTATTACTACTACAATATTACATTTCGTTTTGTCCAAGGAGCTGTTTTGTTTATAAGCTCCTAAGAAAAGTCAAGAATAGCTCCATCATTGCTCAAAGTTGTAAAATATCATACTTTATGATGATCATACTTTATGCTGTATTGGAAACGTACCGAACCGTATCGAACCGAACCGTGACACAAGTGTATCGTATCGAACCGAACCGTGAATTTTGTGAACCGTTACACCCCTAGTTACAAGTAACCTAATATAAAGAAGCACATTATGAGTGCAGCAGCATTAGCAGTAACTGTAATTGTTAAATTAGAAAAAGTGCTAAGGTATTACTAGCATTAATCCACATTTTTATAAAATGTTATTTACAAATAACATTTTATAAAAATTCGCATCCACAAATAAAACGATTTTACAGTACTGTTCAAAAGTTTGGGGTCAACAAAGTTATGTTTTTTTTTTAAGAATGAAATTAATACTTGTATCCACAAGTTTCCTACGCCCCATGAGGCCTTGCGTCAAAAGTGGGCGCGACTTCCGGTTGGAAGTAAACAAAGGGCGATTTGACATTCATTCAACAGTTGACAGTCATTCAAGTTATAGCGATCCAAACTAGCTAACGATGTGGGAAGACAACCTCAACGAAATTCAAAAGGGTGAAATAACAGTCCCTTTACCCTCCGCAGTAGTTGATTGGGAGTATTATAATAACATTATTAATAATCAATACTCATCAAGGCATGGTGACAGACAGTTGTGTGAGCTGACAAACAATTAAAATAAAAAATACACACTTAGTCATTGTGCTTTGGAGTTTATTCAAAATTATAAATGAATGTGCTGCTTGAATACATTAACTGGCACATTTGGTATTCTGTCAACACAGGCTTTGATCCTGACTTTAGGTGTAACATCAGTAGCGAACAGCCAATCACATGCTGATAGAGTTTATAGAACATTAAGAATTTAAACAAATGTACACAGGAAGATTCGTCGTCTTTTGGGAGGTGATGGAAACTAACGTTACAGTCGTTGGCAGGATCAGAGACGGGCTCTGGCGGGATCACTCTGATTTCGTTTTCGGCTTATGTTCAAAACAATCACGTTTAAGCCACTGAACTAGTTTAGTCCGGTTATACATACAACCGCGAACAGCACATGTTGCCCCTGAGCTCCGTAACGACATCTCTCATAAAGATTTTGCGTCTTCAAATAGTAAAATAATTCTCCGAAAAACAGCTAGCCTCTTCGCTAACTAACACACAAAATACCATTGGAATGCTACTTCCGCCGCGTCACCGGAAGTTTCACCCACTTTATTTTTTACAGGAGCGCCCCTCGGAAACTTGTGGATACTGTGCAAGGATGCATGATCAAAAAGTGACAGACTTGTATGCTGTCACAAAAAAAATATATAGTAGTCGAAGTTAATTTATCTGCTCACACAGACATTTGGCATATACAAACAATAATTTAAAGCAAATAAATCTAATTTAGGATAACCAGACCAGCTGACCATCAATCAACACTAGAATCATTTTAAAATCTAATTGCTTGGGGGATAAAAGATAGCTTGGACCTGTTTTTCATGCATCAGGGAACACAGTACCGTCGGCCAGATGGCATTAATTCAAAAGTTGTCACTTCAAAATTGTAAAAACAAGTCCAAATGTGCCTATAATAATAAGTGGACATGGCAACACTGCAAGAGCCGATTGGTGATTGGTTTATGACAAAATAACAATCTAGCGGGTTCAAAATATATTAAACATGGTTACACGCGCTCACTCACAGTGCTACTCAATTATACACATATCCTGTGATAGTACGCATCCAGCTAAAAAGATACGGCACTTCATATGGCACTGCTGACCGTAGAAAATCTCAGTTATGGCGTGTCAAGTGAATAGGTGCTGCTGTAACACAGTGCAATCCCAGTGTCGTGTTCCTGTGCCGTGGAGAACAGAGCACAACTCGGATAGACAGAAAAGATGATTTAAGGCTACTGTACTTGTGGTGGAGCTGGGAGTTGTGCAAGTAGAGCTCTTTCCAAGCCAGACAGCACTGGATACAGTCATTCAGAATCTGCTTGCTGGAGATCACGTAACCCTGAAAGATCCTGTCCAGAGAGATCTGCCGACAGCACTGACGGATGATCTCACTACTCATCTGCAACAAAAAAAACAACACATAGTATAGATTACTGTATTTAAATGAAACACCACGTATGAATCTGTCTTTGTGTCTCTCATAAATGAGGATTTGCTCATGAATGTTTGATGAGAGAACCACATTGACTGTACCAAAGCAAGCGCAGACAGGTGTGTGCCGTAATGTGTTCTGCATTCAGGTGTAGATTAACCTTGAGAACAGACTTTTATACGAATCAGACAGGATTTACTCCTGTTAAAACCTTGGCTTTTGTGCCTGGTGTCACTCAGACGTACTCGCCTTACAAAAACAGAGAGCGTTGTATGGAAGCGAGTAAAGAAAAAATGAATGAAGAGAAGGCAACAAAGAGGAGAGAGGAAGAGAGGAGAAGAAAGTGTAATTATGGCTGATGATGTATATAGTGGAGGATGTGAAACGACAGATTCCCATTCATTCTTAGTTTCTTTTGACAGAGGAACCCCATAGAGCACTGAAACCAACATGTGTGTGTGTGTGTGAGAGTATAGCTCTACATGTGTACAATACATCAGTGGAAAAAGGGAAAAAAAATGTGTATGTGTATGTGGGGAAAAAAAGATTTAGGGAAAATGTGTGTGTGTGTGTGTGTGTGTACTGTAGTAATGTGTACTACACCCTGATTACAGTGCCAGGCAAATTCATGTTTTAATGAAGGAGGCACAAAACAAGAGGAAATTAAATTGATATGTTAATGACTCAAAATTCTCATTTAAGCAAAAGGTTAAGAGAGCCAGAGAATTAAACAGAGTTCATTTTTTTTTTCCATTGCTCTCTTTACTGAAAAATACTTAAAAGAGTCTTCTGTAAATGAAGACAACACATGTCCCAACGCCTGTCTCAAGAGCTTTCTAAGGCCTCGTTCAATCAGAGACGTTTCTTACATTTCTGTCACAGCGCCTCTTGAAAATCAGCAGAGAAGCGCATCTTAACTTTGGTGCAGGAAAAAAAACAAAAAAAACTAGACGGAGCTGAAAGTAGGGTTAGGTGGACGTAAGGGGTAAGAATAGATGACAAGCGTTGAGCTTTAAGGAACCCTGGCAGATGGTGTTTCATATCAAAAAATTGACGGTGGGAAGCAGAGCTGAGCATAATTATTACAAATTATTCTTTTGAAGGCATTGTGTATTCGAACCCTACTTTATCTTTACCTCTGTATTTTTTTCCTGGTATTAAACGTAACAGCACATGCAAGTCCAAAGCCCATGGCCCCTAGCGCTGGCTGATTGGAAAATGATATTAAATCCGATGTAGGCTCGACCAGCTCGGAGAAATAGGACGGGGGCGAAAAACAAACCAAAAACAAATAAAAGAAATGCTGAAGCCCTGAGGGAGAAACAAAGGGAGGCGGTCGTGACGCACACACACAAACACACACATCGTGACTCAAATGCCCTCTGATTGGAAATTATTAGCTGGAAAGCTCTGACTGGAAACTGAATCAAGAAAGCAAGTTCTGCTCCACGTCTTTTCTCTCTACTCTTTCCTTCCTCACTGCAAAGCACAATCAAATGTTTCCCTGCTGAAATAATCAGGTTTCCCATGTTATTTTCCATCTTGGAGGGGGAGAAACCCTCTAAAGTCGAAATACCAGGGCCCATTTCACCTTCGTTAAACACAGCACAGCTAACACGCTATTGCACGCAGCCAATGACAACAGAGCACTGGGTGGACTTCACAGTCCATTTAGATGTATTTGTATATAGCCGCTGATAGAAATCATCGTTACTCTCTGATTTTAGAACAGTTTCCTCAGTTTCTTCTGAAATGTTTCATGTCGGAAATTCGGTCAGGGGTTGTTGATCCCCCATCGGTCCTATAGGAGTGTGGGCCAAATCTGTGAACCAGGTACAAGATTCAAGTCACTGAGCATTAATGGAGCTTAGCGGGTGATTTAAACTCACAGTACAATCGTGGCATGGTGGAAAAGCCATGAGAAAAATGGCAACATTATTTCATAGAATAACAATAAAAACATCTCCACAGAGAGGGCCTATATCAGTCGCTGGAATCTTTCACTCAGGCAAATAGAAATTCAATTTTCCAGTAGAAAAAAAATGCATGTAAACTGATGAAGGCTCCCATTACGGGAGAAGAGAACTTTCTTTCACTTCAAAAATCATTATGGCATAACCTAAGCAGTTTTCATAGCACAAGCACTGGCCTAACACAATAGACGTTTCACATCAGATATTCTGTGTATTTGACAAGGTAAGAACAAAGTGCTCACAAAGAGAGCTCACTTGACTGAACCGCAGGCATTTGGCCTGGGTAAGACTGCATAAAAAATTACAGTGTTGTGGCTGAACTGAAGTACATTTCTGACAGATTAAAAGAAAGGCTCTTGATATTTCTGTCTTTTTTTGGTCAGAGGGTGGCTATGGGATTCAATTCCCACCGAAAGTATTGCGGTCACAGATGAAAAAATAAGAACACATGTGAAAAATACATTGCGCAAACGGAAAAAAAAGAATGCAAAATGATCAGAATAGCAAACTATAATAAGCGTGAATCAAAAAAAGTTGTTTCCCTCAGTTTAATGACTCTGTACTTTGTGTTCTCTAACATTTTCTGCTCATATTTTATTCTTTTGTACGCTTGTGCTGTTTTTCTCGTCGCTCTTCTTTTCCAAACCAAATGTTGCAGTTTGAGTTTCATGTAAATTAAGGCAGGCTTAAGCGCCACCATTGGTCCACTACTTCTTGATTGACAGCTCCTCCTTTAGCCAATCAATCGAAGAGGGGAGTTGACGTCGCTCCAGTGTGACTCATGGCTACCAAGGGGGTAATCCAGCACCCGGAAAGCGTACCGGGGGCCGCCATTGGCTAGCAAGCCATTACCTACTGTTAGCATTCCATTGAGTCCCATTCATTTTGGCGTCACTTTGACAGCGAATAACTTTACATCTGAGGCGTTTAAAAGTCCATTTGTCCATTATTTATTTCTAAAAAAAAAAAACACCATGTATAAAAGGCTCTATTTACCTTGTATCTAAGTTACGTTATGCCCTGTAGAAGCCGTTTTTTTTTTGTTTTTTTAAATAGGGTAACGATTGGTCATAACACGCAACTCTCTGTCGCACAGTGAAATTACCGTATAGACAGGAGGAGAAGCTTGCGGGCATTTGAGGGGAGGTGGAGGCATAAAGTCAAGGGTAAAGCCCATAGAGAGTCATAAAGTTGCTCATGCTGCTACTCACGATCTCCGGCTCTGCAAGATTCGGAAGGTAATGATTCAGATTCCTCTTGGCGCCACCACTAGAAGACTTACAGCTGTGAGACAGGTTGTTCACGTCACATCTACGTCGTCAAGCTCAGTTTGAGCCTGCGCAGCCATCAGGAAGTGAATGCTTCTAATTGACTTCACTTTTCTCCGTTGAAGTCTATGGGGTCACTGTGTCCATTTCTTTTCCTGTCTTTGATGGCTACTGATGGCTACCCCTGAGCTGGGGTAAAATCTTTCCGTGGCACCGGTATATACAGTACGTCTACCTGGAAATCCTTTTCCAGGTCATTTCAAACCTTTATCTGTAACTTACTGTCCTTTCTTCTGCAACACTTTTAACAGAAGACTTAACTGTAGTGTCTATACAATGAGAGCCATTGGAGTCCAAAACAATACTGGACCCCAGAATTGTCTTTTACAGCCAGTTTAGATGGAAAGGATCTCATGCTGACTAGCTGAAGATTTTACTGTATAATGATTATGGTACTGTATAATGGCTATGGTACTGAGTTGAAAAGAAATTCCAGCACAACAATACAATCACCATAATAAAACAACCCTTCACAATAAATACTGCTTTACAGTGAACTCTGTTAGAGAGCTACATGGCTATTTATCTGTTTAATAAAATACCTCACTCGCCAGTTGCCAGTTTTACAACATTTCAAATCCCTCAGTACTCTCCATCTCCAAAAAACCAAGCCAATGCTGATTCTTGTTTTATTACAAGCTCTGTCATGGTCTCATTTTGACAGCAGACTCTCCTCTGTTCTGCGTTTTTATTTTTTTTTAACCAGGTGGATCCCGGAGGTTGGATATTTAACTGCTTCATGTCAACCTTTCTTGCTAATTGTGACAACTAACCTCTGCCACTCCCACGCCATTATGGATATGATGAGATGTGCTCAGGCGAGTGACGCATGTACGCAATTTCCAGCGAAAACTATCTCGACATGTCTAAAACATAAACACTAATAATAGGCTTACCATACACTAGAACCAGAAATGATTCCATCCCCCGCTTCATATATGGAACTCCAAAATGGTTCTATATAGAACCATTTTTTTTGGTAAAAGGTTCTATTGGCCATGTATGGAACCCCAGGATTCTATATAGAACCCAGAGGAACCCTTTTTTAAGAGTGTATAGAACCTTTTAGGGGTTCCAAATGCGTAATGCTGATAGAACCTTTTAAGGTTCTATATAGAACCTTTTCTTCTAGGAGTGTAGTGTTGGGTGAACTAACTCTTTAAATTTGAACATAAGGGAAACAAAAGGGGGGGGGGGGGGGGGGAAGATTGTCCAGACTTGAACTCATTAAACATATGCAGGTCAAAGGTGCAAATATGACCTCAGAGAATAAAAGTGTCTCTTTGGAAAACAACTGCTGATTTAATTCGGCCATTTCAGCTTGTGCGCACGGTCTCACCCCTCAGGAAACAATTAGACCAAATGTTTTTGTAGCAGTCCGATTTGCCTTGATGTGTTTTCAAAGAAAAGAATGAAAAAGAGAAAAAAAAAAAGAAAAATGAAACGGACACAAAAAAAGAAGAGAGAAACAAAGTGGCAGTAGTACCATGTGATTCCTGCAGAGGAAGGGTCAGAGCGTAATTACAGAAGGTTAAACGGTTTCCCTGATGCTCTCAAGGAGCCCGGGATGGAAATGAAAAGCAAGTGAACCGATGCGAGCGGGTGGCGTAGAGACGCAAGGCCCCGCTCCTCTGATCTGAAGAACACGTGTTACATGTGCTACGCCACTGCGGCTGATGGCTTATCTATGTGGCGGAGCCCTAAGCAATCCGAACTTTGATGTGCAGGAAGCAGAGGAGGGGGGTGTGGGATCCAGACAGCAGGTACTAATATGACTGTATAGGTCTGTGGGAGTGGATTGAGGGAAAACCTCTGAGCATGAGAGATTAGCTGATTCATACAAAATTATGCATGAAGTGATTGATTTCCTAGACAAAGGGTTGTGCATAACAATAAAACCGTGTAGTGGATCAATCTTCATTGTCAGAGCATTGCAAAATCAATTCACTCATGTGCTATTATAAAGAGATAACCTAACATATAATGCAGTGTTTCCCAACCCTGTTCCTGGAGGCACATCATCAGAGCACATTTTGGATGTCTTCCTTATCTGACCCATATATTTCTTGGTTTGGAGTCTCTACAAACAAGTTGAAAAGTTGAATCAGGTGTGTTAAGTTCAAATATGTTTAGTTGTGGTGTGCCTCCGGGAACAGGATTGGGAAACACTGATGTGAAGTATTGCTCGCACAGGTGACTTGCATTTGTAGAATGCGCATGCAATGTTATCATACTAAATAAAAGGATTACATATTGAACAATAGAATAGAATATTTTAGCAATATCACATGAGCAATCAGAGTAACACATGTTTTTGAAATTAATTCCATCTTTAAACATGATTCAAAATGAAGCCATGGTAGAATTAACCGGTGTATCTCTGAGCAAACACACAGTAGTAGTGTTCCTGAATGAATCAGATTCACGGTAAAATGACGTACCTTGGATAACAGAGCTGTGATCTTGTCATGGGTGTTGTAGTAGCTGGAGTTGACCCATATCACACGAATTATGTTGAGGATGTGAGCGAGTTTGGGTACAATCTCACGAGGTTTAAGCTGAGCAAGCTCCTCACAAGGCTCTTTCAGTAAGGACAGGAAGGAGATGTTTGACTGGGCCTGCAAAGTGCTGTCCTGGAGAACAAAACAAAAACCAATGTTACTTCAACAAACAGACAGATAGACTGGCAGACAGGCACGGTTGGATGGATGGATGGATGGATTGATTTGTTTATTTGGATCCCCATTAGCTACTCTTGCTGGGGTCCCAACAAGTAAAACTAAAAAACTACATTAGACAGACTGACAAACATCTATCATCACTTCATTGGTTACCTATAAAGTTCCGTATTATTTACAAGGCATTGCTTTTGACTTATAAAGCTCTAAATGGTTAAGCTAACGGATCTTTTATCGCCCTACAACCCATCGCGCTCTTTAAGATCGCTAAATTCGAGGCTTCTGGTCATTCCTAGGATATCCAGATCCACCAAAGGAGGGAGAGCATTTTCACATTTAGCTCTGAAGCTCTGGAATAGCCTTCCTGATATTGTTTGTTGCATCGCTCACCCAGTTTAAAGCTAGACTAAAGACGCATTTATTTAGCCAGGCATTCATATACATTTTTTTTTTATCTTAGTTACTGTAAATTTGGCCTCTAGTTCATAAACGCCAGAGGAGAACTGAGCCTGGGTTCTCCCAAGGTTATTTTTTTTCTCCATTGGGTCATCTGATGAAGTTTTAGGACACCATCGGGTCACTTAATGGAGTTTTTCGGTTCCTTGCCACTGTTGCCATTGGCTTTCTCAGTTGGGGATATTCAAATTAAATGACCCATCATTGATCAGCTCTACCAAACTTGATTGTCTTTTTTTTCCATGAATAAACAAACACTGTTAAGTTGTCTTGATTGATACTGTAAAGCAGCTTTGATACAATCTGTATTGTGAAAAGCACTATATAAATATATTTGACTTGACTTGACTTGACGAACAGATGTTAGATAAGGAGAGAGGAGAGACAGACAGACGATAGGAGTGAGAGTGAGAGAGATAGACAAAAGGCAGACAGTCAGACAGACGATAGATGAACAGACAGACACCACTTAACACCACCTAACCCAAATCAAATAATTGAGTTTTTACATTGCACCGATTTTACTCATCTGGGTCAGTTACAATAACTGCTTAAGGCTGGCCAACACTAAAAGATTTAAAAAAATTATATATAGACTACTCCTTATAAAAGCTACACAAGTTCTTTAGTCAAGAGCAGTGAGTAATTTTCTCTGTTCCCTTTTACTGACAGAACGCTTTATTGGTAGCTGGCCCTTTAAGAGCAACCGCTGTGAACAGAGCTCACACGCACCTCATTCTCTCACGAGTCACAACTCTTTATGTCCATCAAAAGACTGCTCTTATGTTATGAAGATACTCGACAAATGGCATTTTGGCTTAATTGTGTGTGTTGTTGATGTTCATTCAAGCGCGAAAGAGAACTTCTGGCGCGCGGCCTGTGCATGCGCATTATACTGTCTTTCTGTGAGTCACATTCAGGACATTCAGAGGCAGCGCGAAAAATGTGTTCGTTTCAAATCGGTAAAATTAAATCTGTAACATAGACGTAACGAGTGGCACATAACGTGAAGTAACATGGCATTTTATTTTGTTTGAAATTTAACTTGTCCGGTTGGACAACTAATTTTCTCATCTACTTGTCCTACAGAAAATCCACTTCTCCCAGACAAGCGGACAAGCCTTAAGGCCAATTTATACTTCTGCGTAGGGTGAGCGCAGTAGGTACGGCGTAGCATACGCACAGACGCGTCCCATAGCGCGTACCCTTCGCCGTCGCCTGACGCGCACCTCTTCAAAAACGTAACTACACGTTGCGACGACGCGGACCGCAAGATCGGTGATTGGTCGGCTTGGTAGCATCGCATTTCCTCCTACGCATTTCCGCACGTACCTTCTCACGCATTTCCACCACTGTCTATGATTTCCACACGTACCATCTCCTCCGAAGTTTTCTCTCATTTCTGCCTTTCAATTTTAGTAATTTTTAGTAATTTCACTAAAGTGAACTGTTTTTCCACCTTAATAAGCTCCAACTCCAACATGATCAGCTCTCTTTCAGTCGATATTGCTTGTAGTAACCTAGCCGCGAGGAATCTAAACACAGTGGAACATTGAAACCCTCCGCCGCCAACTAGCGTTTCGGAGCAGTACTGCAGAGCAACCAAGACCTGAACGCAGAAGTATAAATGCTCACAACGGCGTCGCCTACGTGCGTAGCCAACGTCGTACACTACGGCGTACACTCGACGCAGAAGTATAAATTGGCCTTTAATGTCAAGCCCTGTTCAACAGTATAATGTGTGGAGTGCCGCGATGTGACCACAACAGCACAACATACACTAACAGATTCCATTCTTGAAATCTTGGGAAATCTCTTGCGGTCAAACATGCTCACATGTGCTCCTTGGGAAAAACCTTAGCGTAGAACCCGGGAGGGAGTTGTTGAATGACAAAATAACCTTATAAAGTTCTTCGGGCATGAGTATATAGTGTATAAGTGTATAGTGCGTCAGTTGGGACACAACTACAGTCTTAACTTATTTATTATGTTTATGCAACTGGCCCCTGAAGTCAATTTGCACAGTTAAGGTCAGCTTCAACCACATCAGAATAAGCTTAAAGGAACACTCCGACTTTTTGGGACTTTAGCCTATTCACCTTAACCCCCAGAGTTAGATAAGTCCATACATACCTTTTTCATCTCCGTGCGTGCTATAAGTCTGTTTGACGCACCCACCGCTAGCCTAGCTTAGCACAAAGACTCGATGTGACTGGTTGCAGCTTTCATACTGATCCAAATGAGTGGCAAAATAACGCAAACGTTTTCCTATTTACATGTTGTGATTTGTATAGTCACATAATGTACAAATAACAAAGTCAAATGAGACACAGACATCTTTTAACCGTATAAAACCTGGGAACTATTCTCTGAAGGCGAAGCACTGCTACTTTGACGGCGTAATAACCGCATCACCGGAGACACGCCGTGGTGAGGAGCGTGTTTGGGTAGCAATAATAGAGTCAGCAATTTATAAATAGTAAAAGCGTAGTTTCATGGGTTTTCGCTCTATTGTAAATAGCTGCGACTGTAAACAGGGGAGGTAATACCATGTTTCACAGAATTCCAACTAAAAACGCTGACTGGATGAAGAAATGGCTAACTTACTCTGGATATTGATCCAAACACACCTAAGATTATCAAGGGACATTATGTTTGCTCGGTACATTTCAATGAGGACGACTATTTTGAAAAAATGGAATTTGCCACACGGACCATAATGTGCTGAAGGATACGGCCATCCCATCGATAGCACAGACAAGTGGATCACCTGCGGCTGAGGTAAGTGTTCCGTTATGTTTTTAGATGACCTACTGTAACAGTGCCTTTAGCCAGATCTAATGTAACGTTAGTGACACTATTATATGATTAGGGTATGAATATGTTTTTATCTTGATGCGGTGCGGACGCGCTTGGGGAAAAAAACGAGCGCGTTCACCGCGTTGAACTTGCACCCTGCGCGCGGCGCGCCTAGTAGCCTAAATTTGAAATAACCATGGAAATAACGAACTTGAGCGTGCAAAAGGGTACGATAGGCTGTGAGTTCATTGTGCAAAAACAATTTGTGCTATTACTTTCCCCTTATTCTATCCTATAGTAATGCAATACTGTATATTATATAGGCTACTGTTGAATACATTTGGTTCAGCTAATAAATTGCATTTAAAATATATTGATTCCAGTAATAATAATTATTTATTCATGTGATATTTATAAATCTGGGTGCGTTTTTGGTTGGAAATCAGTGAAACATGGTACTGTATTACCTGGTCTCCCCTGTTTATTGTCACAGCTCATACAATAAAGCAAACACCCATGATAAACTATGCTTTTCTATCTAACGTTAGTAATTGCTGACTCTTTATTCCAACGCTGAGCGAAGCGAACTCTCTGCTCCTCGTCACGGTGCGTCTCAGGTGATTGTTATCACTCTGCCCAAGTAGCAGTGCTTCCCCTTCAGAAAATATAGTATTTATACGGTCAAAAGATGTCTGTGTCTCATATGGCCTTGATATTTGCACACTCTGTGACTATACAAACCACAACATGTAAATAGGAAAACGTTTGCGTTATTTTGTCACTCATTTGAATTAGTATGAAAGCTGCAACCATTCACATCCAGTCTTTGTGCTAAGCTAGGCTAGCGGTGGGTGCGTCAAACAGACTTATAGCACGCACGGAGATGAAAAAGGTATGTATGGACTTATCTAACTCTGGGGGGTAAGGTGAATAGGCTAAAGTCGCAAAAAGTCGGAGTGTTCCTTTAAAGGGTTTTACCCAAGTAAAGTGACACACAACATTGGCTGTTACAGGACAGTGATCAGGCACACAGCTGACTCTACAACGTCACTATTACAAGCAGCCATGGGTGCCCCTGAAGGTCAAATAGAGCTGATGTTTAATTATTTCACACTGGTCACATTGATTTTTTTCAGAGGCTTTGGAGATTGTGTAAAATTAAGGATGGCAGTTGCTGCAGTTTTGCGCAGAATGAAGCTGGAGGGATGACAATCAGAAAAGGGGACACGTGTCCTCCACACTGATGCAGGACCAGCTCCCTCTATCTAAACCCCATTCCCAAGTAAGTCATTATAAGAACAACCATAAACTGATCTAAAATCAGTGTTTAAGGGCAATGAGGGTGCGACACTAAGCGCTGCAGTAGAGCTGACAGACAGGCTCCGTCTCTCGCTGAAATGAGGAGCCGGGCCAACTCTTAATAGCGAAGAGTGAACGTGAGACGGCCTCATTTCCGAGGGGTGAGGAGAAGCCGCTCGGAAGGCGCATATAAATCATCAACAGCCAGAGAATGTTCTTGCTCAGCCCATTACCCCACGGCTCAATTCCTGCCATGTAGCCCTGCACAGTTTTTCACACACTCATGGACACACACACACACACACAAGTAGCTAGGTACTGGGCTGTACCTGGATCTGCTTGGCTAGTTCACAGAAGGATGGGATGTAGTTTGATGTGTGGAGCTGAAGAATGGCCTGTATATGACAGACTCCAGGTTTCTGGAGCTGCTTACTAATGCTTTCCAGATCAGCACAGCGGCTCTTCCAGAAAGAGATCTCCTCCAGCGGGCCCGAGGTGTCTCCCATGTCACTCACGGATTGAGCGCTGAGCACTGCTTTAATCTGACGTGTCCAGTGGATCATCACCACTGGGGGAGGGAGAGAGAGAGAGAGAGAGAGAGAGCGAGAGAGAGAGTGTTTTGGTTTGTAAGGTGCTGCATTTTATTAAATCAAACCAGACAAATAGGTTTGCATGGAATTTCTGGCCAAAGAATGCTGTTGAATTTAAATGCCCATCATTTACAAAGTTGTGTGCACCCCTTACGTTTTCTCTCATTAAATATTTTGGCTAATTTGAATGCTTTTAGCTTCCAATAAGGGTGTATTATCCTTAGTTCTGCTCTGAATGCAACTGAATACTCCACTGAATTTAACTTTAGGTCAAGTTCTTCCTGGAGAGAATCACATCCCAATGGCAATTCATTTTGGTTGTGATTGACTTACATTAACCAGCATTAAAAGACTGTTAACTACTGGCAAGATTTAGTAATGCCGAATTACATACAACACCCTAAAACAATGGCTATATATGTATTTGTCTAAGTGATGTCAGCCAAAATGTCTTTTCACAGGCAGAGTAAGTCATTCAATTTTGACAACGGATTAAAAAATAATAAAATATAGTTTGGGTTCAGTAAGATTCTTTGTTGTTGTTTTTTTTTTAAAGAAGTTTACTTTTATTCAGCAAGAACCCATTAACCCTTAAACAGGCAAGAGTGGAAAATAATCAGCAAAACATTTTCATATCACTTTTTTTTTTTTTTTTACTTTTTTCAAAGGAATTTCTTTATTTATATTTTGAATTTAAATCATCATTATTTCTGTGTTTTGTGTAATGCAAAATATATGTAATATGCAAAATATGCTGCATGTATGAGCCAGATTTACTAAACAGGGCAAATTAGCATGCAAGCACAATTTACTGATGACGTGCAAATTAAAGAACACAGCCGGATCATTTCCACAAGGACCAACGCAATCTACCAAGATTAGCAAGAAAATTAGCATCTGTAGCATCACCAATTTTACCTATTTTATTCAGCATACATGCTTTGTTTATTTAAACTTCTTAATAATTGCTCAGATAATGGAAATTAGTATTTGAACAATTCAACCATTATTGTAAAGCCATTTCATGACCAATCTTTTGTCAAATCAAAATCATTACTGTATTCTCAGGTCTTTCCCATAGTAATGGATGACTATTGGAATTTAGCTTGTGCGTACATCACATCCGTCACATCATTCCTCATTTCTTACTGCTGTAGACAGCAAATCCAGCCCACTTTACAGAGCTCTGCATGCTGGTGAAATGAATCAACACAAGAGCATATAATGGAAATGATAAAGAGTCACACCTCTACATTTAGAGGCATTACTTATCACTTAAATGTTCCTGAACATTAAAACATACCATGATGAATAAGACTATACTAGTTACTAGGGGTGTAACGATTCACTCGTTTTCTCGATGCATCGATTATAAATCCTGGCGATGCATATGCATCGATCCTGAAACATGTATTTTGAATCGTGAATCGCTTATTTACGTGAATAATCGATTTAAAAGGCTAATAATCGAATTAATCACGATTTTATAGCGATTCAGTGGTTTAAAATATATAAACACAACCTTAAAGTGTTCCTGGTACAAGCTGCCTCACGCATTGGCCGTCATACGACATCCGCATTTGATTGGTTTCAGGCGCTCACACACCCCTGATTTCTCACGCTGAAGCCCGGTCGGTCAAATGCCTGAAAAGATGAGTTTATCTTTCTACCTGTTGAGCTACTCATGTCGTGATCAGCTTGTATTACCGCAAATTAGATAAAATCTCCCGGAATCTAGAGCGAGCGTGCATACGAGACAGAGGTTGCGCTCCAAACCGCGTATCGCGCGTTCACACACGGCTGCACGCACTCGGCAGAAAGGGAAAGCGAGCGAGAGTGACCACCTTGCGTGTACGGAGAGTCCATGTAATAAATGAATAAAAGCGTTTTATTTCATAGTGCCCACGCAATGGCATGGCAGCTTTAACAATGGCTTGAGCGGTTTGCCTCAAAACTATTGCTTTCTCGACAGAGAGCTCAGCTGGAGAGCTCAAACATGGACTGCTCAAAAATCTGTAGTTAACGTTATGAAAGCATGAGAGCTATGGGACCGAGCGCGAGCAAAATCCAGTGAAAAGATGATAACGAGTGCACTGAGAGGACGCAAAATGAAACTAATGAAAACGTCTCCATTAATTTGTGCATGTAGTCATTTAATGAAATAGTTTAAAAGCCTTTTTCAAAATATTTGCTACTTGCAAATGCTAATTTGTAGGCCATTGAATTTTTTTTTAATAATAATATATTCATTAAAATTAAAAAAAAACATGAACTAACATTAACAATGGACAAAATCCCCACTATCTGACCCCCGAAGGCCGCTGTGTAGGCTAATTCAAACCCAGACAAAGACCCATTGGGTGAAGCATTAAAATAATACTATAATGCATATAAAAAATTAAGAATCGAATCGAATTAATCGAATCGCATCAAATTTGGATGTGAATCGCATCGAATCGAATCGTTCTGAATTTGCACAAATCGTTCATGAATCGAATCGAAAACCTATGAATCGTGAATCGAATCGATTCGCTGTCTACCCAAAGATTCACAGCCCTACTAGTTACTAATTTTTACTCATTCGAATTTAGAAAACCAATAGTTTTGGCACACATATTTGCTAGAAAACGTCTCGGTTACGTATGTAACCCTCGTTCCCTGAGTAGGGAACGGAGACGTTACGTCAGAAGTGACGGAGATTGGGGGTTTCGCATAGAAAGCCAATCCTCTTCGAGTATTTAAACACGAGCCAATGGCATGCAACGCCTTGGGGCTGCGGAAATTTGCATAGCGTACTCCGCCCTACTCCGTGAGTATAAAAGGAGGAAGTGAACGCAACCGCAGTATGTCTTCGCTGAGGAGCCAAGACTGAACTCGGCGTCTACCCAGCGATACAGCAGAAGTGGCAGGGAGACGTAACGTCTCCGTTCCCTACTCAGGGAACGAGGGTTACATACGTAACCGAGACGTTCCCTTTCGTAGTCACTTCGAGTTACGTCAGAAGTGACGGAGATTGGGGGTCTGTGCCATCACGCCATCTTCAAGCTGTCTTCCAGTGCCCTGCGAAAGTCTGGACCCCCGAGCCTACCTCTTTTTTTTTTTTTTTTTTTTTTTGGGATCCGACTTTGACACAGGATTACCAAGGTACACTG